TCGGATCAAGGGGATCAGCAAGGACAAATTCAGTATTTGTATTAATATAGGTTTTCTGTATGTGAGTAGTTGATTCCTCCAAAGGAATCCACAGGGGTAGATTTAAACACTTGCTTTGTATTCTTTTGTTTCTGGGTACTGTTTTCATCAAGGGAGTCTTGTTTGGATGAAAACCCCTTTCAGTTGGATTTTATTTCTTTCCTCCGAAGAACATAAGGAAGCATGACTTGCAGAATTTCTCAATGTGGTTTCTCATGTATCTACCAAACTCTAAAATCCCCCAAAGTCAGGAACGCTTGGAATTCACCACTTTTTATATAAAGGCTTCCAAAACCTCAGTGGTTTTATGGCTGTAGCTGCGCTCTTATATCTGCTTTGAAGTAGTCAAAAGAGTGTACTGTCAAGGTAACACTCTACTTCCTCTCCAGCCTGGTTCTCCAGCCTGGTTATATGTCTTCAAAAAGAAAAGGAAACCTTAGTGTCATTTCTGACCGACTTTTAGTTTTACTTAGACAGGTCATTCCACTAACTCTTAAGCTGGGTACAAATAGTTTTATTGCTTTCCTTCATTCTTGCAGGCGGGTGGGGAAAAAAAATTATAGATTAGGGATGCACAGATATCAAGGTCTCGTACTTGGTACAAGTACAGATACTTTTCCAGGTCCAAGACTAGACTAGGGAAAAACTCAAATGTTAGAAGGCAACTGTCATTTGTAAAGAGTATACGGAGCTCCTGCGATTGGTGCATCCTTGTTTTAATGTGTGATTTGATTTAGAGATAGATAGCCAATGGTATTGGGACATCTGCCTTTACACTCACATGAAGTTTAATGGCATCCCAATTTTAGTCCGTAGGGTGCAATATTGATTTGCCCACCCTTTTGCAGTTATGACAGATTCAACTCTTCTGGGAAGGCGTCCACAAGGTTTGGGAGTGTGTCTATGGGAATGTTTGATCATTCTTCCAGAAGTGCATTTGTGAGGTCAGGTACTGATGTTGGACGAGAAGGCCGGGCTCGCAGTCTCCGCTCTAATTCATCCCAAAGGTGTTCTATGGGATTGAGGTCAGGACTCTGTGCAGGCCAGTCAAGTTCCTCCACCCCAAACTCGCTCATCCATGTCTTTATGGACCTTGCTTTGTGCACTGGTGCGCAGTCATGTTGGAAAAGGAAGGGGCCATCTCCAAACTGTTCCCACAAAGTTGGGAGCAGGAAATCACCAAAAATGTCTTGGTATGCCGATGCCTTAAAGGGTTTCTAAACTGTCACTTTTTTTGCATATATCTACTGCTAGCAAGCAGTAGATATATGCAAAAAGTTAATTTTTTAAAAACGCTTTAAAAGCGGTTGAAACTTACCTGTGTCTTCCCCGCGCACTCTCGTCTGAAAATGTTCGGCCGTGAGACGAGGAGAGACGCAAGGTAAGTCTATGGACGCGTGAACCCGCATGCAGGCACCGTGGGACAGGAAGTGCCAGCAAGGACAGAGGAGTCATCGCTGGATCGGAGACCCACAGCAGCGCTGGAGGGACAGATGAAAACGACAGGAAAGAATTAGATCGGGTTAAGAGACATTTTAAGGTAAGTGCTTTAACCTACTTGGCGGTAATCCTGAGTGTGGCTCGGGGTTAATTTTCAGTACCATAAGCGGTAACCCCGAGCCACACTTGGGATTACAGCATAGCGTTACTTACCTTGTCCCTCAAGCCGCGCTGTGTCCTCCGGCTGATGCCGGCATACGTCTTCCGGGTTCAGTCCCTTGTGAGCGTCCGCGTCGCAAGGGGGGCGGAACTGGCGGGAATTTTAAAAGTAAAAATAACCACAAAAAAAGGAAAAACAAATTTAAATAATCAGACCGCCAGGGAGGTTAATTAACATTGGGGGGGGGAAATCTTTGCCTTTTTAATGTCACTTTAAAGGTGCCCATACACTGTACGATTATCGTACGAGAATTGCGGGACGACCGTTTCAGACAACTGCCGACCGGGCTGTTGTGCGCATGCTGCACCCTGCCTGTTTGCAGTCATCTGAAGCCCACCCCTCATTGCAGTCATCGAAAGCCCACTCCTCAGGGGGGTCCAAGATAGGCAGATCGTACGTTTTTTTAATTACTTTACAACCCTCGCAAGACAAAATTCATGCGAGGGTTGTTAAGTGTATGGCCACCTTAAGAGTTCCCTTCACTGGAACTAAGGGGCCAAGCCCAACCCCTGAAACACAACCCCACACCATAATCCCCCCTCCACCAAACTTTACACTTGGCATAATGCAGTCAGGCAATGTACCGTTCTCCTGGCAACTGTCCAACCCAGACACGTCCATCGGAGTGTATATAAGTGATGCACCAATACCATTTTTTCCAGACCAAGTACTGATACATTTTTGTTTAGTATGATGTGACAGTTTTTCTAAAACAATACAGACTAATGATTTCAGGACAGTGGTGGAGCGAAAGATGGTTCTAGTCTGCATCGGGACTGAAGTCAAGTGAATGTTGTGTTCTGGTCCAGTCTTGTATCACTTAATGAGGCTGCACTGTGAGTACTCAATCCTATCCATGCGAAATTAGGAGAACCAGGATTCCGTGTCACAGTGTGGGGAAGGTTGGGTTACGTTCACTAGAAAATGAACTGGATTAGCAAATGAAATCCAGACTCCAACTAACCCTTTTTTTTTTTTTTTAAACAGTTACAGCAAACAAACTTTTTTTTTCCTTTTTGGGATATCGGGATCGGATCGGAGGGGGGAATCCAGCCTCTCCCCTGTCACGGCAGTGATCCGTGACAGGATCGGGAGGTGAGCGAACGCCGGTATGTGTTCACTCACCTCCCGATCTACTGAGCCGACCTGTGACAGTCTCATTGTCACAGGTCGGCTAGAACTAAGAAAAGCACTCACCTCATAGTTCTCCTTTTAATAAAATGTATCTTATTTGTGTATCACTCGGCTGTAGATCCTCAAATCATCTCTGAGTTGGTGCTGACACTGCCCTTCCTTCTGGAGGGCGGCTACTTTTATTCCCCATGGTCCCTGTGTGTGTTGTAAAGTAGCCACCACTCCAAACTCACTCCAGTGATAGACTACAATCTCATAGTTTTACTCATTTGTATTGAGATTGTAGTCCATCACGGGAATGAGCTTGGAGCGGTGACTAGTTTACAACACACACAGGGACCACGGGGAACAAAAGTAGCCCCCCTCCAGAAGGAAGGACAGTGGCAGCACCAATTCAGAGATGATTTGAGGATCTACAGCCGAGTGATACAGAAATAATGCCTTTTAACGTTAACTCCTGAGTTTAGTGTTACTTTAATAAAAGGAAAACTAATGCTGACACCACATTTAAGGTTTGGTAAGCTGCAATATATAAACTTTTTGCTTTGCAATTTAGATATATACTCCTTCAACTCCATTACAAATGTCATATATTGCAGCTTACCAATCCCTAGATGTGGTGGCTGCATTCGTTTACCTTTTGTGGGGGGTTTTCCTTTCAGTTTCACCTGGTGATCTGGTCAGTAACACAATCCGGCAGCTCCACTCTATCCTTGGATTATAGGAATAAGGGCTGATATTGGGGCAGGTTCCTTTTTTTTCTTCTTTTTAAATCCTACTTCTGAATGTTTTATTTATTGTTTTTATATTTTCATGCACCGACTAATTACTCTGTGCCCAAAATGTGTCAACTAACAGTCCGCTTCTGGTAGTAGTAAGCCGGTCACACAGACAGAAATCTTTGGGAGCTTTGTCTCGCACACAAACCGCGCAACAAAAATCCCCCAAACATCTGCCATTGAGTGCTCCTTCATACCACAACGCGTTGAAAAGTGCACAGAAAATGCATGTGTGTCGACATGCAGTGCAAATGGATTGCGCTGCATTTTACGGCTTGGTAAACTGCGTTTTTAAATGCATTTTTCTCCACCGCAAGGGTCAAAATTCAACAAAAAATGTTTTTAATGATGTACGTTGACATGCGTTTTGTTGCATTGTGCAACAATGCAGACATTCGGCACACTTGTGAGGTGTAAACAGGGCACATGAAACAACAATTGGTTTTTGCTTGCATTGAGCCTGGGTTGATCAACGCACCTGCTGAGCAGGAGCACTTAGTGAAAGGAGTATTTTTACTGCAATGTTAAGGTGCCCATACACCTGCCGATTATCGTACGATAATCGCGGGTGATCTCGCAATCATACGATAATCGGCAGTGTATGGAAAGCGTGCGACCGTTTCTACTGTAAGGTCGCACATCTTTTGTCTCCCGAGCAGGCTTGAAAACCCACCGAGAATCGTACGATTTTCGGCGGGTTGGTGGCGTTCTCGGGAGACAAATGCCGCACGGGACGGTGTGCGCAAGTGCACACTGCCCGCTCAGCATTGCAGTCATTGCAAGCCCTCCCCTCAGCCGGGAAGGGCTTGCGACGATCGCAAGTACGGTCTGCCTGTCCAAGATGGGCAGATCGTACAAGCTTTTAATTACCTTTCAACCATCGCAGGATGAAAGTCGTGCAATGTTTGTAAGGTGTATGGGCACCTTAAGCGTATCCTCGCTGTCCATAGATTGAAATGGAGGGTCAGTTTATTAACCGTAAAATACAGAATGACTTTTATGTAGCTTTCTATACATTGCATAATTTTTGTAAGAAAAGTGGAATGTTCCTTTAAGGGCTGTTTCAAACTTCCTCCTTGGAAGAAACCTGCACATGAAAATCATTTAGCACACAGTACTATGGCTGTGTGCATTTTCACTCTGCTTCAGCTGAAGCCAAGTTTTAATAAGCGGAGGGGGTTGAAGAACTTCCCTATGTATTACTATAGTTTGCAGCCGTAAGCACGTGGGAAGACGGGGAGTGTTGCTCTGCTCTGTGGGAATGTGAGCTCTGCAAAGCCTGTAAACAGGCGATGAGTCACGGCATTGCTATGTCACACAGTGATTGGAGGGCCTCCCTCAGTGTGGCTTCCTTCTGTGTAAGCGAGTGGGTGTACTCAGGCAATGTCTTTACAGGGAACAGGGCCTCCTCCAGCGTATTTACGCTTTAAGCGCCGTTCCAGGTCACCGTCGCTGCACCAGGTGAGGACTCCAAACCGCTGCGGGGCTAAGAGGTGTCTTGTAGATTTTAGGCTGGCTTACAATGTGCTGCTTCTTCA